CGATTTCTTAATGTTGAACCTTTTTAAGAAAACTCTACCATGAACCCTGCTTGGTCATGATTAATTATTTTAAACCATTGCAAGATTTAAGTTGCTACTGTTTTATTTGAGATTTTTACACCTAGATTCATAAATGAGATTATTGTTTATAGTGATTTTTATCTTAATCTTTTTGTTGTAGTTTTTTGTTTTTGTTTTTTGGTCTTAATCTTGTTTACTTTTATATTGAGGAATATGCTGGTCTTATACATTGAATTGGGAAAATTTTTATATTTGTCTAAGCTATGAAAAAGTTTACCACATATAATAGGGATTTAGTAGAACTTTCTAAGAATATATCTGGGACTTTCCAGTTTTTTCCTGAGGTAGTTTAATCTATCTGGATAAATTTTTAAAAAGGTATATTTTCTAGTAAAATCATCCCTTTCATTTAAATTTTTTAATCCATTGTTATAAAGTTGTACGTAGCATTCTAAGTTTTTAGTCTCCTCTTTTTCTGTAGTTATGTTCTCTTTCTTGCTCCAAATGTGTTTGAATCTTTTTCCTTACCATTCTGTGAAAAGTTTGTCTATTTAGTGGTTCTTTTTAAAGAACCAATGTACTGTCCTCGCTTCGGCAGCACATATACTAAAGAACCAGTGTACTTTCCTTTTTTAACTCCTGTTTTCATTTTTTTCTCAATTTTTCTTAATTTCTTTAATCAGTTCTTTTTCCCTATCTTCCCTGGGTTCAATTTAATGTTCTCTCTCTGGCTTCTTGAGTTTAATACTTAAGTTTATTTTTATATATCCTACTTTTTCATGAATAGTATTAAAGCGTAAGTTTACTTCATTGTATCTGGCTTTCTCTATGCCTCTGGTTTCAATTTGTAATGCTCTCACCGTCCTTTCTAAATGGTTTGTCATTTCAGTTTTGATTTCCTTTTTAGCCCAAGAGTTATTAAGAAAAAGTAGGATTTTGCCTATTTCCTAGTAGGTTTCTGTTTTTGGTGGTGGTGGTAGTGGTATTCCTTTATTAATAATTTATGACCCTACTGTATTTTGGTCAAGGGAATGCTTAAATAATGCCTGCTTTTGGAAATTTATGAAAATTTTTTAGTGGCGGGGCGCCTGGGTGCCTCAGTCGTTAAGCCTCTGCCTTCAGCTCAGGTCATGATCCCAAGTCCTGGGATCGAGCCCCGCGTCGGGCTCCCTGCTCAGTGGGAAGCCTCCTTCTCCCTCTCCCCCTCCCCCTGCTTGTGTTCCCTCTTTCGCTGTCTCTCTCGCTCTGTGTCAAATAAATAAATAAAATCTTTAAAAAAAAATTTTTTTTTTTTAGTGGCTTGGTAAATGGTCAGTTTTTACGGATATTCCATGAATACCAAGTGCTAATAGATTTTATTTGGTAATGCTGTTCATATCCTTTTGTATCTTTTTGGTTTTTGTTTAATGTAATAAATGACATTAGGTTATATAAGAAAATGTATATGTGTATGTTGGAGGTAAATGACCGGTCTAGAATTTGCCTTAAACTATCCCAGCAAATATAAAAGGGGTTGATGGACAGATGAAAGTATACCAAGTGTTCATAGTTGTTATAGCTGGGTTATAGTATTTGAGGATTTGTATTCTCTACTTTTATGTATGTTTGAAATTATTAATAATAAACAGTTTTTAAAATCCTCCCTATCCTTATTTGTTTTTAGATTGCTTGATCTGTTGATTCCTGAAAAAGGTGTGTTAAAGTTTCCAACTATGTTTGATTGTTTTTCTAATACTGTTTACTTGATATGTTATGAACCCACATGATTAGGTACATAAAATTTTACTAAGTTAAATTTCCTTTTCATAAAATCTCTTTTTCCAATTTAATTTCCCATTTCTGTTTTTAATACTACCATACTAATTTTGTTATTGTTTTGGTATCTTTTTCCATATCTCTGTTTTCTTTCCCTCAGAACATTTTTTCTTGTGAAATATAACTCACATGTGGAAATATAAAACATATAAGAAAAACACATAAAATTCCTATAAATGTGAAAATGCAGACATTACTTAAGCCATATTCCTTGATCATAATACAACAATTTTATAAAATAATAGTTGAAAGAATAAAAAAAAGGAACAAAGATAAAAAATAAGTTTTTATTTTTAAAACTTCTAAACTTATCCTAAATAACTCAAGGATTTAAAAGGAAAACAAAACTGAAATGATAAACCACTTAGAAAGGGCAGTGGAACATTTACATTTCAAAACCAATGGGATGTGCCAAAAGTGTAGAACAAAGAAGAAAGTTTATAGTGTTAAATGCTACTCACTAGAGAACAAGAAAATACGAAAATAAATTGAATAGTAAATTAAACCCAGCTTATAACCTCTAGAACTAACCACTCTCTGAGTTGGAGATAGTAATCACTTCCCTGCTTTTCTTATGTAATTTTACCACCCGTGTATACATCCCTAAGCACTATCTATACTTTTTTTTTTTAAGCATAATTGACATACAATATTTTATTAGTTTCCGGGGTACAACTTACTGATTCAGCAACTCCATATACTTCTCAATCTGTCACCATATGACTTTGTTACAATATTATTGACTGTATTCCCTCTGCAGTACTTTTCATCTCTGTTACTTATTTTATAACTGGAATTTGTACCTCCTAATAACCTCTATATCTAGATACTATATTATTCTATACTATGCCATACTATACCTGAACACTGTACTTTTGTTTGGCTTGTTTTAAAGCTTCATAAAAAGGGCATTATACAGTATTGATACAGTTTTCCTCTACTGATTCCAAAGTTATACATTCTTTTTAAAAACATATTTGCTTAGGGGCGCCTGGGTGGCTCAGTTGGTTAAGCGACTGCCTTCGGCTCAGGTCATGATCCTGGAGTCCCGGGATCGAGTCCCACGTCGGGCTTCCTGCTCAGCAGGGAGTCTGCTTCTCCCTCTGACCCTCTTCCCTCTCGTGCTTTCTATCTCTCATTCTCTCTCTCAAATAAATAAATAAAATCTTAAAAAATATATATATATTTGCTTAGCTTTTTATTATGGACATTTCAAATATGAACAAAAAGATTGGTATAATTAAACCAATTTATGTATCATTCAGTTTTAATAATCATTGATACATGCATAGTCTTGTTTCATTCCTATCTTCATCTACTCTCCCAACCCCTGATTATTTTGATGAAATATTTCTGTTCTTTTCCTGGTTATAATAGGAATTACAGTGTTTTCAGCTTCTCAAAATCTATTAGTAATCTTACTCTCCTCCTGGATAACCAGGCTTTTGAACACTAGAACTCTTTCAACAATGTGTATAGTTTTCAGAATGTAAGCTTTGCACTTCTTTTCTAAAAGATTTTCTTCGTTTTGATGCTATTATTAATGGAATTGTATTCCTAAATTAATTTCTGGATAGTTCTTTGCAGGCAAGTATATAGAAATGCAGTTGGGGGCATCTGGCTGGCTCAGTAGGTAGAACATGCGACTCTTGATCTTGGGGTTGTGGGGTTGTGAATTCAAGCCAGGTTGGGTGTAGAGCTTCTTAAAAAAAAAAATACAATTGATTTTTATGTATTGATCTTATGCCCTGAAAACTTGCTGAATTTACTTATTAATTCTAATAGTTTTTTAGGAGATTCCTTAGGCTTTTCTGTATACAAGACCATGTCATCTGTGAATAAAGATTGTTTTATTTCTTCAGACATCTTTCTTAGGGGAAAGCATCTAGTTTTTTTACCATTAAGTATGATATCAGGTTGTTTTGTAGATGCCCTTTATCAGGTTAAAGAAGTTCCCTTCTGTCTTTAGCTTGTTGAGTGTTTTTATCACAAGTGTTTAAATTCATGATGTTGAATTTTGCCAAATGCTTTTTCTCCATCTAATGAGATGATCCTGTGGTTTTTGTCCTTTGTTCATAATATGGTGATTGATTGCTGTTTAGGTATGCATTCCTAGGATAAAACCCACTTGGTCATGATGTATAGTTCTTTTTATATGCTGGTTGATTTGCTCATATTTTTGAAGATATTCATGAGGGATAATGGTCCTATGGTTTTTTCATGATGTTTTTGTCTGGTTTAGGTATTGGAATAATATTAGTCCTATAAAGTGAGTGCTTCTTCCTATTTTTCAAGTTTATGATGGATTGGTATTCATTCTTATTTATAACTGTTGGTAGAGTCTTACTCATGAACTCATTTGGGCCTGTGGCTTATCTTTGTGGGATACTTTTTTTTTTTAACAATTTTATTTATTTATTTGACAGAGAGAGACACAGCAAGAGAGGGAACACAAGCAGGGGGAGTGGGAGAGGGAGAAGCAGGCTTCCTGTGGAGCAGGAAGCCCGATGTGGGGCTCGACGTGGACCCCAGGACCATGACTTGAGCCCAAGGCAGACGCTTAACAACTGAGCCACCCAGGCGCCCTGTGGGATACTTTTTAATTTTTTATTCTCTGTACTTGTTGGTCTATTCAGATGTTCTTTTTCTTCTTGAGCCCTTTTCAGTGGTTTTCATCTTCCTAGGAATTTGTCCATTTCATTTAAGTTGTGTGTTAGCATACAATTTTTTATATTATTTTATAATCCTTTTTATTTCTGTAGCTCTTAAAGCTTTTTCAAAGTATTTTGGGGGTGTTGTTTTCCCTTCCCACATCAAATCGGCTTTTCTTCTAGGAATTCTTCACAGCTTTGGTCAGCTGACCCTTTCTTATCTTGCATCACTTTTGTGTCTCTGCTTAAAATATTTTTGTTGCTGCTTAATGGACTTAGGGGTAAGTGTAGGTTGATGGAGGCTCAGTATGATTGTCATTCAGATGTAATTCCATCACTTTGATTCTTGGAAATTAACAACCATTCTTTAATTTCTTACTGTAGTGTTCATTGTTTCAAACAATTTGATGGTAAAAATAATCAAGTCTTTCTTTTTAAACTGTTCAGATTTTACTCAGAGCAAATAAATGTTTATTTGTCTTACTGATTTGCATTTGCTTGATCTAGTTTCAGAAGCCCTACGGGTGGCAACTACTAGCCCAACTGCCAATACTACTGGTACTGCTACTCCGTCCTCTACCACTGTGGGTGCAGTTAAGCAAGAACCTCCCTCTACTTCATCTACAGTAAATATCCTGGAAAATATAAATTCTACAGAACCCCCAAAACCCTGTGAACTTGATGGTCTTCCTTCAGACCAGTTTGCAAAAGGACAGGACACTGTTGCCATAGAAGGTTTTACAGATGAGGAAAACACAGAAAGTGGAGGAGAAGGCCAATACAGAGAGCGTGATGAATTTGTGGTCAAGATAGAAGACATAGAGACTTTTAAGGTGATTTGAATGTTCTTAGGTTTTAAAGGTCATAGTTTAGTGGGCATGCCCTGTAATAAGCCTTCATAATGACTTTAATAGTATGATCTAGCTTGAATTGCAAAAGGTTATATTTTGATAGTTATTCTAAGTTATAATTGTTAAATAATAAAATCAAAGCAGCAGGTGTCAGATATTTTGAAAAAGAAAACAGTCTGAAATAATTTTGACTTATATCTGAGTTTTACGTATTTCTGACTAGTCACTATGTTGCATTTAGGTACTAGTAATTAGAGCTGTTTTGAAATGTTAATTTTTTTCAAGGCTCCCAATTCATTGTATCATTAGGAGTTTGGAGAAAATGATTTTTTAATTTAACAGTTTAAAGAAAATAACAGGAATATGATGTAAACAGAATTATTTTCATAATTGCAAATTGTAGAACCATACATAGAATGTCAAATTTCGTACTGGAAAATTTTAGCTGTTTTTAAAAAATAGGTTTAAGAAAACCTATTTTTTGGGGTTTTGTTTGCTTGCTTTTGATTTTTTAATTGGGGCAGAGAGGAATGGCATTAAAAAGTATAATGAGGAACGAACATAACCTTCAAATTATCTATATGCCTTCCATTCACAATTAACTACTGTTAATATTTTAGCATGTATGTTTCTGGTCTTTTTTAATACATCCATACTTTTATAAAATTGCATCAATAATGTATGACAGTATTATTAGAGGAAAACTTTCCAATAGTTACACAGAAGGGTAATGGGCTACTATGCATATTTCTGGAAGAATTTTAGCAGAGACTCAATAGCCAGCTTATAAGAATTGTTGCAAAAGTTCAGGTAGGTAAAAAGCAAAAGTTTAGCTAGATAGGTCTTTAATTTTCCTTTCAGCTCTAAGAGTCTATAAATCTAGAATTTGTTGTTAGTTTTTACAAATGTAATTAATTCTACATATTACAGGAGGCTTTAAAAACAGGAAAAGAACCCCCAGCTATTTGGAAAGTACAGAAAGCTTTATTACAGAAATTTGTTCCTGAAATTCGAGATGGACAAAGAGAATTTGCTGCTACCAATAGTGTAAGTAAAACGCTTCTTTCCATTAGTTTTCCTGTTTTTTTTGACAAAATAGAGATCCTTGGGAAAATACAGAATGATTTAAATTTATATGTAATTTATATTGAACATTTCTGGTATAAAATAGCATAAAATTTGATATATGATACTCTGATAGTCTGATTTTAAAATAAAATCAGTATGTAAACACCAGCTTCTTAAAATTAAATCACTTTATACTAATATGTAAACTTTTTTTAAAATTGTTATTAGTCCATGAAGAGTTCATATGGACTCAGAGGCTATTATATTAATTATTCTGCCAGTCAAACATCCTGATTTACCAGAAGACTTACAGAAATGATTCTTTTGTACTTAATGTAGTTACTTAATAGCATTGAGTAAGTAAGCATCTGGTAATTAGCCAAATGAAATTGCTTCTATGTATGGGCTTGCAGTTAAGAATAAGCCTGAGGTCATTTTTACTGAGGGTGAAAAGTAGCCTGGCCAGAGCTGCATTTGAAAAACTTAAAGGATGGCAATGTGATAGTCAAGCCAACAAATATATTATGTACAGAATGTATAAGTATGTAATTCAGAGTGTTTCTTTCCTTAGTACCTTGGGTATTTTGGAGATGCAAAGAGTAAATACAAAAAGATATATGTGAAGTTCATTGAAAACACAAACAAAAAGGAATATGTCAGAGTGTGTTCCAAAAAGCCAAGAAATAAGCCTTCACAAACTATCAGGTATTTATTTTTGTATGTAATATATTTATATAGCAATTATCGGAGGACTTACTTTTGGCAATGTAATTTTTTAAGTTTTTTGTTTTTTGTTTTTTGTTTTTTTTTTTTTAGTAATCTCTGTACCCAATGTGGGGCTTGAATGCACGACCCCAAGATCAAGAGTCACACATTCCTCTGACCAAGCCAGCCAGGCACCCTGGCAGTGTTTTATATAAATAATTACATCAATTAAAGAGCCTGGTTTTGTTTTGTTTTGTTTTTTCCTTATATACAAGTTTGAAAATTCAGTGCCCGCTGTAATAAGTGATTCCTTTTGAAGTAATGAGATAGGGGCTATAAAGTTCATGATTGTCTATGGTAGGATGGGTACTCTTTTCTTTCCCAGAGTCCTTTTGGTGTTACCCTAATGTAGTGGGGGGGAAATGGGTGAGTCAAAAGCTTTGAGTCCAGCGTTTTGTGACCTAGAGTAACACAACATTTTTGAAGCCCCTTTTTTTAATCCATAAAATGAAAATTATAATGAAGTGTCAAATTTTAGCTGAAATGAATTTTCAGAAAAAATTGTAAAACCTATACATTACTAAGCAAGTATACAATAGAATTATCATCATATATTAATTATCGTGATTCTGGGTTATCTGGAACATGAATCTGGAAGACAAATGACCTAGCCACATTCCTGTAATCTGTATGGGACAAGAGGGTATGACCCTAGATATTCTCAGTCTAGTGCTAGGAAGGTCTCGTTTGATTAAGATTCCAGCTTATTGAAAGCAGCACACCTTATTTTTATGATGAAATTTTATCCACTCAAATCTCCAGAAATAACACAGAAAATCTTGAGGGGCTCTAGTACAGGTATAGTTGGGTCTCCACATCAAAACCTGGTTCCACCAGAGCCTGTGAGGGTTTCAGATGGTCAGATAGATGCCGCTATCAAGGGTGTATCATGCATTACTTCCCAAAGCCTTTGATCACTGGTTGTACAGCCTCATCTGCAGGAAAATGAGTTCATAAAGGGAGAGAAGGAGTGGAGAGAGAGAAACAGATTGAATTAATACTCCTTTAATAATTGAATATTGAATGTCAGTGGTTAAGAGTGTATTTCAGGAGAATTTGGAGGGGGGAATCATCACTGGAGATATATAGAACTTGGACTTCATTTTGGAGGTGTTGGTGAAGTAATATACTTTTCTTCTCTAGCGTTACTCATTTTTGGTCTAATTCATTTAATTTGACAAGAATTCAGTGTGTTAATGAAGTTTGTCTGTAACATTGCAGAACTGTTCAGGCTAAGCCAAGTAGTAGCAATAAAACTTCTGATCCTCCAACACCAAAAACTACAACTACAAAAGCCCCTTCCGTGAAACCCAAAGTTAAACAGCTGAAAGTAAAGGCTGAGCCACCACCAAAGAAACGGAAGAAATGGAAAGAAGAGTTTTCATCATCCCAATCTGACTCCTCTCCTGAGATCCATTCTAGTAGTAGTGATGATGAGGGTAAGTTCTCCATGAAATGAATACCTCGATAACTTTAGATTATCTACATGAACAGAGAGAAGGAGTAATGCTCACAATTCAAAATTGTTTTATTTTTCAGGGGATTTACCTAATTAGGTTCAGCCTAGGCTTTTATAAAAATAAATTCAAAAAATACATACATACATAGATACATATGTACATACGAATACAAATTCACATTCCCTGAACACTAATTGAAAGCACAGTTTGCCCACACATACAACCTTGTAGAAAAAGCAGCAAACTGAAAGAAGACTGTTTTGAGTTCTAACCATACTAATGCCAGTTATCTCACCTCTTTGGGTAGGATGGGGATTAGATCAGATAATTTATACTAAGAGTCCTGTTCTAAACGTCTGAGTCCATGTTTATGCCAGAAGAAAAGAGTAAAATGAGTCTAGGAAGCAGCAACTCTGAAACTGTAGTTAATATGGTAATATATATATAATAATTGTACTTATGTATATATGGAATATGTTTATTATATAATATCATGCATACTGCTGGGTATCTGCCCCTAGCCAACCAGCTGCCCTTGACTAAGCTAGGTAACCTCTCTGTGCCTTAGTTTTCTCTTTTATAAAATGAAAAGGTTGAAATAGATCAGCAGTTACCAAACTTTTTGACTGTAGAACACTTTTTTATACTCTTAAAACTGTTGAAGACACCAAAGAGCATTTTTGTAGGCTGGATGTAGATATAGATGTATTTACTTTATTAGAAACTAAACCTTAGTTGTAAAACACAAGGATATACCAGCACACGTTCCATTAGTCATCCAGCTTGGTATGTAATATACGCAAGAAACATCAAGAAGTTCTGTCTAGGGCAGGGGTTGGCAAACTGTGGCCAGTGGGCCAAATCTGACCGACAGCCTATTCTTGTAAAGTTTTAATTGGAACATGAATACATTTACATATTTTCAGATAGTTGCTTTTCTACTATGGTGGCAGATTTGAGTCGTTGCTACAGAGAGCATATGACCATTAAAGCCTTAAATATTTGCCCCTGAAAAAAATTAGTGACCCTTCTTCTGGAGCATAAAGTTGGAGGTAGGCAGAAAAAGATGAAAGGTTGATGGAAGGCTGCGTATGCCAAGCTAAAGCTAAAAAGCCTGGGATCCTATAAGCCCAGGAGAGTCCCTGGAGGGATTTAAGTAGGGAGCAAACAGGGTGAAATTGGAATTTGAATTATAAGATGTCATAGTTCAGGTATAAATTGAAAGTCTGAACCTAAGTTGCAGCAGTAGGTCTGGAAGAGGGGGTCACATAAGAAATTCAGGCTGAACATGAATGATGAATTGGGATTAAGGGTGCTATTGAGGTTGATGGCCAGGTTGGCTTCTGACATTACAGGTATCATTGCTTGGGAGCGTATCTTAAAGCTTATTTGAATAGAAATAGAATTGTAACAAAAAGTCTTCTTAAGGGGCGCCTGGGTGGCTCAGTCCTTAAGCGTCTGCCTTTGGCTCAGGTCATGATCCCAGGGTGCTGGGATTGAGCCCCACATCTAGCTCCCTGCTCGGTGGGGAGCCTGCTTCTCCCTCTCCCACTCCCCCTGCTTGTGTTCCCTCTCTCGCTGTGTCTTTCTCTGTCAAATAAATAAGTAAAATCTTAAAAAAAAAAGTCTTCAGTGCAGAAGTCTACTTTAAGTGTGTTGTTTTTTAAAAGCTACTTAGAAAGTGTGGACATCAGAATTTATAAAGAAACTCAGTGCTTTGAGTATGTGTGGAAGGCAATATATGTAGTCTTTGCAGTTAGCATTCCTGCTTACTGTTTAGAGTAGAGTGCTTTGGGTTCTGAATGTGCACACAACTGTACCACTTCCTCAAAGGACATTCAAGATAAAATTTTTCTTTATTGGTAACTCAAGTTGTGGCCACTAGGTGTCACTAATAGGTAAGCATTTTTAGTGCTTCTTAAAAAGGCAAATACTGATAATAAACATAGATTTATAGGCTGGTGGTTTTCAAAACTATTTGTTTGAAGACTTCCTTATAATCTTCAGATTTGTTGAAGATTCCAAAACACTTGTGTTTTTGTGGCTTTATGTATTTATATTTACCAAATATCAATTAAAATAAATTTTTTAAATATATTTAAAATAAACCCACTATGGGGCACCTGGGTGGCTCAGTCGTTAAGCATCTGCCTTCGGCTCAGGTCATGATCCCAGGGTCCTGGGAT